ATACATTGGTTAAAAATTACCAGCCCGATATGGGCAAAACTTTTATAAAGTGTTTTATTATTAATTAAAGTGGAATCCGATAGATAATATCATACATGATTTTTATAAATTCAGATGTGACATCCATGTCACTGGCGCAGTAATGTGGCGCAGTAGTGATCAAACTTTACCTTCTTTTTTTAAAACTTCAACGATTATATAATCAATATTTTCTTGACTCAGATTTGAAATGTTGATGCCAAAAATGATCTAATACCACTTATTTTCTCTTTACCAATACTAACAAATAAATCATATATTTTTCCCGATCTTTCCTTTCTTTTTTTTAATGCGTCATTGGTGATATTATCGGGAAGTTGTTTTCGGATTTCATCAAGGTTAAACATGCACATTCTCTATGATTCATATTTTTGTAATGATCAAATCGTTTTTTTAAAACCTCACCAAAGTTAAAGTAACATTCAATTACATCTTTATTTGCTATTTCATTTTTAGATTCAGTCTGCGAAATTTTGTTATAATGGTATAAAAAATTATTTGTATTTTCGTTGAGTTCTATTACTTTTTCAGAATTTTCAGGTACCGTTGATGTCAATTCCTCAATAAGTTTTTTAAATATAGAAGAATCTTCCTTTGAAACTTGCTTCTTTGCTTTCTTACTGGATAATTTGTCAGTAGATTCATCAACATGCTTTTTTTGTATTTTATTTCCTAATAATAGTGATACATTCATTGGTGAATTTAACCCAAGATTATTGCCTAACATATCCATAATAGTCGAAGTTCCACTAGACTGAGATGATTCAGAAAACCTTCGTTCAGATATTACTAGATTAACAATTTCGTCATAATCAGGAATAGGGCATTTGTTCTTTTCTATAAATAAAAATTTTTTTTCAATACATTTCCTATGATACACATGACCACATGGAAGTATTGTAAGTGATTCAAAGTTAAGCGTTGTTAACCTGTGGTTTTTTTTTTAACTACAGTGATATCAGAAGCTGCTCAACTATAGTATGACAACTATAACTTGACAGATTCTACACAAAAGTTTACACAAGACTTAACAAAATACAGAGTGATTTGGGATTTTAAGACAGAGGCAACAATAGATAGTATATGAAGATACT